AAATTGCTCATTAAACAAAAACTAATTACTAACCAAATGATCCATGCATTCTATTCGCCCGTTGCCTGAGCTAAACTACATTGCTTGCAAGTCTATTCAGAGGCTGTTTGGCAGTGTGTTGCTTTTAATCATTTAACTTTTGCTTTGAATAGAAGTGATTCTACTCTGTTTGGTATGTCAGCTTCTGCTTTTCACAACCACTATTTTGTACATAGAACACCGTTTCAGAAAAGTAGGTAGGATGTGCTTCTGCTTTCAGCTTTTGTGGAAATCACTTTATCCATAAGTTAATCACTCTCAAACACCCTCTCAGCATGCGACATCAGCTTTTCACGTATCCTTCCGACAAATATTATTTATCTTTAACACTATCATATCCGTCCTCACATGCACTCCCATTGATTAATTCCAAAATCATAATTATTAAAAATAAATAAATTAAATAAATGCTTTTTGTTAAAAATAAATCAGATAAATAATAAAAACTATATGGCTAAAATAAAAAAGAAAGCTCCTACATCGCACCCGTCCCCGTCCGGAAAGATGCAAGATTACACACGCGCAACGCGCAGAGGAAACCATTGCAGCACTTCTGGTGCGGACAAGATGAAATGCACCGCGATGAAGGAAGTCTAACAAGAAACACATTACTCACTAGTCACCAACCGATTGCTTTCTTACCAGCATCAAATTGCTCACTAATTTGCACCTATGTACAACTTGTAACTATTACGTAGTGTATCATATATTGATATTCTGAATCACCAGAAATAGTCAATAATTCAACTTAAAACCCAGAAATGACCTGACACAATAATAATAACTCAAGACCCATTCTTATGTAACAATGGATCAGAGATTACTTGAGGCTCAAAACCTGGCTTTACGTAGCACGAAAGCAGGTCTGCATACATCTCGTAACGTGCTGTCATTCTGAATCCCCATTTGTCCTTTAATTGTCTGCAAAGGTTAAGATCCATGTCTGAGACGATCAAGCCATCCCTGTGACGCGACAGAGATGGTGTGCATGAAGCATCCGGAGAAGAGAAATGGCTGGAACCATAGAAATGACCAAAATCCGTGTGTTCCGGCTTTCCATCTCCGGATGTGAATGCGTTGGGGAAAATCTCTGTTCCAACTCGATTTATTGAAGCAACAAAGTAACTATTCGCTATTGCTGCATTACGAGCCTGCAAAATCACAGCAGAAATAAAAAAATGTTGTGTTCATAGAAGGTAAGGGATGGAATCATGTAAAACAAGGATAAAACTCAATTGGCTCTTAAATCACTCCAATATTTTGTCTCTTCCAAGCATAGTGTAAAGCTGACGTACTATTATGACCAAACATTCATAAGAATGATGGGAGTGGGTACCTCAATGGGCCACATTGGTTCACTAAGTTCACCAACAGTGGCCGAAGGGTTGAAAACAATCTCGGCTCCATTTAACCCAAAGGCCAACCAATTGAGAGGATGATGCCTTCCATAGCATATATTAACAGCGATCTTTCCATATGCGGTTTCAAAGACAGGATGGCCAGTGTTCCCTTCCATGTAGTATGTGCTCTCATTAAAGTCCCCGACTCTAGGTATATGGTTCTGCAAATTGACCAATACTAAATGCACCGAGCAACAACATGGCAAAAAACATAAAGAAGAATTTTAGTGTTACCTTTCGGTGTTTTCCAATTACATTTCCATGGTTCCCAATTATAACACAAGTGTTCCAGATCGTTTCTCCATGTTTCACATCTCTCTCAAGAATTGGGCTAATCACAACCATGTTATATTTCTTAGCAAATTCCTGAAGAAACTGTGTAGATTCTCCATCTATTGGCTCGGCAAATTCACACCACCTCTTTTCACGAGTACAAAACGCAAATGGCATCATCCATGCCTCCTGCATGAGTTATAAAGCGATGCAATATGCTTATGTTTCGAAGGAACACCAAAATCTGCAGTATCACTTATACAATATGTTTGGATAAAAAAATGCCACAAGGTGGGATATGTTAGGTTATAATTTCTTGTGTTAGGACAATTCATTTTTACCTTAGAAAATGAAATATGTTAACGTTTTAAAAATGGTTCATGTCTGTTTAGATTCCTTAGTATTCATATATAATAGAAATGGAAAAATAAAACGAGTTTGAAAAATATCAAAAATAAATTTATTGAATTTGAACCAATGTTTCATTTTTTTCCTACATGTTTCCTTTCCATACAAATTTCTCCTATATGCCCCTCGTATTTCTTTTCACAAGCATTTTTTGAGTTCCATAGAGACCCATAGACTCACTTGCAAACACAGGATATTGACTCCTGCAGTCCCGGCAGCATCAATGATGGGCGTAAGCTTCTGAAATATGGCAGGTTTTTGTTCCAAAAAAGGTGCAGTTGTAGGAAGGGCAATAGAGTTCTGAATGAGTCCAACTCTAACAATCCGAGGTTCTCTACACGACTCTTTTTCAGCCCGAAACACAAACGCCTGTGTTCAAAAGAAACAAACACCACACTAAACAATGTAACTTAACTACTAATGACCTACTCCAATGTGAGGTTATGTGACACAACTCATCAATTCCTACCCTCAACTGAAGTTAGTTAAACAACATTTAGGAGCTTTAAATACACATATTGCTAACAGGACTACTGTGATTACGGGAATGTAAGATTGCCAAAAGATGATAGTTCACCAATTGGGATACTCTCTCTCTCCCTATTTAAACTTCCAGTTCGACAATTCCCAGTCGAATTGGACAAATTTCGACCGTCATATGCAGAAAAAATTCATTGAGATATAATGAAAACTTAATAACATTAGATTATTTTTTAAAATGTAGTTTTGACCTATCATATTTTAATAATGCTCCCTCCATACCCAAAAGAATTTTTCTTTCCATAAAAGGAAATGAAATCATGCCTCACAACATTTCTCTCCATTCTACACAAACTCTACTCATACACTTTTTTCTTTTCAACCACTTCCTTAAACTCCGTGAAGTCAACCTGGGAATATTATTAGGGGATGGATGGAATATTTATTTTATGTACAGAAATATACTCCGTATATATTAATGATCAAATTGTTGCATTAGATATCGTGAAAAATCAAGCTTAGAGTTTAAATAAGGACAAAGGAAGGATTACTTCTGTAATCAAATCGTCAAGAAAAAGCTAGCATATGCTTAAAAAATGACAAGGGTAAGCTAACAATAACTTTGAAAATGGTGGCAGTCTTATTTTATGCTTAAAATCCAAACTGATAACATGTACTGTTACGTTACTGAGGTCGGAGATATTATCTATGTCGCTATGCACTTAGATAAAACAAGGCTATGTTCACACTAACCACTATTTCTATTGAAATAGATACATCATGTACAGACTTTACCATATATATGATGAACTCCAGGCATCAAATTCAAGGCTAGCCTCCTTCAGGGAGATTATGGAGAATTGATGATGTACATTTCAACCAAATGAATACTCTGTATGTATGGACTCATTTGGTTTTGATTATGCTTATGGCTGATTCCAATTCTCATTATCAACTAGTATACAATTCTAGAGAAATCAATCACTTCCTTGATTCTGAAAATCAGGTTCCTGTAACAAAATCACAATTTGACTCTAGCCAGAATCCGTATCAAACACATTGCTACGGGTTGATTCCAGACGATTCCGAGATTCAAAATCAGCTGAAAAATCTAAACAGAATGAACCACATTCACTACTACGAACAGAACACACTGAAAATATGAGATCACCTGAAGATCAAAGTCGTGTTTCTCCGATAGCCATCTGGCAGGCTCCGGAAGTTCAACGGCATCAACCGCCGTTCCACAATTGAGCCCCAAAAGCAAGCGGCTAACTTCCTACAACAGAAATCGGGAAGGGTTGTGAGAAAGCACAAAACAAAAATGGTGGATCGGATTAGAATGTTGCCTGAAAGAGATGGGGGCTGAGAGAAGCTTGAAGGAGACGGTGCAGAGAATCGAAACCACAAATGGAGCCGTTGTTTGAGCTCTCAGTTGTTGGGTTTGAGCTGCTATTGACTGCTACGACGTCGTTGCTTTCCTCTTTCCCGCTCGCCGCCATTTCTGCTCCTCCAAGATGATCTGCCTATACCTTTGGGTACACACGGGCATGTGATCAGGTCTATCCATTTGGTTTGGAATATGGGTATTAATATCTTTGGCTTTTTTTATTGGAATTAGCTCAAAGACATCAGATTCAATACATGAAGGACAATAAATCTATCAAATGATCCGATCAAAAAAATTAACGATAAACAAGAACTCGAGAATTATGAAATTATACTCTAGGTTTAATTTGAGGATCCTCATTCGCCTCCTCTCTATTTATACATGTTTCCTATACAATTATGGTATTTTACAATTCAAGAAAACTAATCTGTTATTAGCACGATCCTCTTTCTTCGGCTCTTTCTCCGCATCCAGCTGCGTTTCATTCCCTGGTTCGGGCTCCTCCAGTTGTTTCTTGATTGGGCTGGTCCAGGCCCAAGTTCTTGGGCCAGCCCAGAACCGCTGCACGCCCAGACTGGTATCCCAACACCATTCGGGCGCGAGGTTTGGGCCTCCCGTTGGGTATCGGCCCATCAGTACAGTTTTAAATATAATTAAAATTAAAAAATTTGATGCCAAATCAACTAATTTGGTGTGTAATTGAAGGGGTAAAAGGTGGGTTTGAGTTGGCGCGAGGTAAGAGATTTAACGGGAGAGTTTAAGGTAAGAATCATCATTTTTTAAATGGGGTCGTGTACAGACCTTAACTAGGGATGATGACAACGAGTCAGATTTGAGTATACATAAATCCAATCTGACCTAAGTCGGGTTTGGATTTGATTTTTTTGGTGGGTCAGTTCCGTATATTTAATTTTTTTGGTTTGGATTCAGTTTAAGGTTCTGTCGGATAAGAGAGTGACTCGGCGACAATTGCATTGACAAAATTGTTCAAAATATAATATATGTTGCAATAACATATTGAATATTTATAATGAAAAAAGCATGTCTTAAGAAAAACAATGGCAACATTCCAAGAGCTGCTAATTACTACCCCAAAGCAATAAACAATGGCGATGAAAATTCAAATGTAATTTTAATTTGTTTTGATCATTTAAAAAAGAAAAAGAAAATCTACTGCTGATCTTCATTTGCACCACCAGCACTTGCAGCACTCAGATCCACTGACAAATCAACCGCCTAATCAAAGAAAAGAAAGCCATCCAATTACACATAATTTCCGAGAAAAGTGCACCGTCCAGCTCTTTAGAAATTACAGTTTATTTTTGAATATTTAAAAGTATATCATTTACACTCGAAATTTTCAAAAATTGTATAATTTACTTCTGAACATTAAAAATGAATCAAATACCCTCGAACAATTTAAAATGTTGCGCCATTGGTCCTAAAATACGAGATAGGGAGCGTGTTGCTCCCACGCACGGGAACTGCGAGTATGATTTATCTGGCCCTTGTGAATTCTCCAAAGTACCCTTCCCCAAAATTATCGTCTTTATTTAAATATTTAGGAGTAAGCCATGTAATTTCTGAAGTGTTCGGGAGTATTTGGTACACTTTTTAATGTTTAAAGGTAAATGATGCAATTTCTGAAGAATTCTTGGTGCACTTGTTTATGTTCAGAGATAAATCGTATAATTTCCAAAAAAGTCAGGGGTAAACGATGCACTTTGGGGAACCCCTACTTTGGGGTTCCCCATATCCGGACTCGTCTGTGCAGTGAGAGATAAAATAAAGATATTTTTAAAATTAATATTGATAATCTAAATAGAATAATATTACTCCGTATTATATTCTGAAATTTGCATTAAATAGACAATATATAAATCTATACCTTTCCAGTAATTTTAGTATACATGTCTAGCACATCTTGTACCGTGGACTCAAAGTGTGTTGATGCATCATAGCTCTGCAATGAATAATAATAATAATAATAATAATAATAATAATAATAATAATAATAATAGTATAATAATGATGATGATGATGATGATGATGATGATAAAAACCAATCAGTACTTACAGTAGATATGAAGCAATTATCTGCTGCAGAGTCATTTACAGGCATGTATCTGTCACAAGTTTCATAGAATATTTCATCTACAGCTCCGAGCAAGTCGACACCCGGCTTCAGTTCTGTTTCTGGATCGTCGGTTTCGGCTTCGGTGAGAACAAAGGCAATATATTTTCCCTTGGGAGCAATGTTGTGAGAATAGGAACAGCAGAACAAGTACCTATCACATGTCACACATTACAATGTAATCATTCATATGTATGGTTATTGGCATGAACCGGAAGTTTGACCTGTTGGTTGAGTTTGTTTTTTTGATGCTGTATCAAACGTTTGCTGATATTGAGGTCACGAATATGAATCTCACGAGAAGCCATGAAAAGATCGAGTATGTATACTTACATGTCTGATTTACGACCGAGTTGTTTTTGTGGCAAGATGACTTGAGCAGAATGGGAGTCATTTGTGTTGGGGATTGGATGGCTCATTATGCAGATTGCTCTAGAAACTTTTCCAACTTTTTGGACCTGAAATGTGAAATGTCATGGATACACTGTCAAATTGTGACATTTACAATGTCAATGCCAACCCTCCTAAACACAAAAAACCTTATTTTGCATTTTATTAAGGTAGATTTCTTTGGAAACAAACAAGAAAATTATTACCTTATGGGTTAAATATGATGGATCACAAACAACTTTCTTGCATTTAGCTGTTTCTCCTTCCGATGTCACACCATAAGCTTTGCCGCTTGCATCAAATTCCACCTGAAAATTTGTACAGTAATATTCGAGGCTTGAAGTTCATTAAAGATTTTATACGCTAACGGTAATTAATTAATAATAGGAGAATTTACTTAAATTTTAGTGCTATTTACTGCAAATATTTCTTAATAATAATGTTATTAGTGTATAAATTACCTTACACTCGGGTTTGTTAAGCATGTATGTTCCACCATAAACCGCACTAAGGCGTGCAAATCCCTGCGAAAAAAAAAATCAACATATATATATATATATATATATATATATATATATATTTGAAGGCATATATATATATATATATAAAGTCCATAAGTGATAACTAACCATGGTTACATTGCTACCAAATTAAATGATGGTTAAAATATGTGCATAGTTAGAAACAAACCTGAGGCAGTTCCCCAAGTCCATACATTGGGTATATATATGGAGATCCTGCTTGGAAGCGAGCTAAAGACTCTGCATATAACTTTACAAACAAACCAAAAAGGTGATTTTTTTAGGACAAAAATGTGATTTAATTCCACAAATTTAATCTACGTATCATAATTTTGTTTTTACCAGTCGCATCCATGATCATTTTTGGAAACTCAATACTAAAATACATTCCCGTTAAATATCTTAAAAATCAAAATCTTTCATGTTTTCAGGGACGGGAGGAAGGGAGTATAAGATTTGCTCACCTTGACTTTCTTGACAAACTCCATTGCAGGCTGGTCTAAACAGGCATCATCGGGCTGAAGAGCCAATGCATGACCAATAAAATCAATTGTGTCCTCTTCAAGTTCATATTTCCTGCACGTACGTAGATTATTATTATTATTATTATTATTACACTGTTAAGTAACCATGTAATATAATTAAGCCCAAATTTAATTACTTCAATCCATTGAAACTAAACTAAACTAGCTTTAATTTATAAAAAAAAAAAAAGAAGAAGATGAAATGTAACATTGGGTATTAGAAATTATTACGCAATGAAGTCTCTAGCAGTGACATTGTTGAGGTCCATCCCATGGTGAGTCTTTGGGTCCGTCTCGTCAAAATCTTGCACGTAAAGAAAGAACTTTCTGGCACGGCGCTTCTCGAACAACCCCATTAATGACGATTTCAACGCTTCTACGTCTGTTGCCGGCACTTTGTAGATCTAAAATTGTTCAATAAATTACAAACCCCATTAATGACGAGAACAACAGGTAAAGTCTCGGGGTAAAATTAACTATTTGTATATAAAGTCGGAATCCATCATTTTAACCCAAAAATTTAGCTAATAGGTAGGGCTTCACCCTTCTATATATGTTAGTGGTATTTTTCTTTATTTTCTGATGTAGGAACTGTAACACTCTCCCTCAAGCGGTAACTAGCCTAGTCTAGTTATCACTCGGACAAACGGGTCTCGCATCTCAATCTCTTATAGCTAGTCCATACAACGGGTCATGGCTTCTCATTCTCTTATAGCCAACTCAACCCAAACCAAGGACGGATAGCTCTTTTTGCTAAACCACATCCAAACAACCAGGAACAGTCGAATCTGAACTTGACCTGCTCCGATACCATGTTAAAAGTCCGCCGGGCGGAGAACAACGGGTGAAATGTCGGGTAAAATTAATCACTTGCATATATAAAGCCGGAATCTACTATTTAAACCTAAAAACTTATAAATATTAGTTATTAAATCAATTCAATCACTAGTTGAAATTTGTTGTTTGTATTTTTCTTTTTTTGGAGATATTGTAAACTCTGGAGGGAAACATATACTCCCTCCGTCCACAAATAAACTTTACGTTGCGCGTTACGATGTTTGACTGAAGTTATTTTCAAATCATTTTATACGAAAAATGGTGTAGAATTGAAAAATAAAAATTACATACTCCGTATTAAAAAACTATATCAAAAGATCTACAAAACTAGAGGTGACATGACTATATTATTTTATCAAATGGTGACGAAAATAGGCCAACAAAATAAATAAAGTTTGACCTTGTGAATAGTAAACGAAAAGTTTATTTGTGGACGGAGAGGAGTATACTTTACCTTTCCTTTGTTGTAAACAAAGCTACCCTCAACTGCTTTGAAGTTGAGATATTTGGTAACATTAGTGTGGATAAGTACTCTCACTAAAGCTCCATTTGCCATCATGAACTGCATACAAAAAATCACATCAAACAAAACTCAATTTGAAATAATTAAGTCATCTAATTAACTATTGTGTCACGCGCTCACCGGAAGCTTTCAAAAGTTGAATACAACTGACCCAAAAAAATTAAAACTAGACAAATACGCATGAACGGAAGTAGTATATATATATTTAAGCGACTAACTATAAAGAAAAGCTTTGTGAATACTTTAGGAATCATGTCCACATTGTACTCTTTGCTAGCGCCTAAGCTCTCATGAGCTTTATCATTTCCTCTAAACCGCTTCCAAAGCTGCACATTTATGAAAAAATGAAAAAAAAAAATGTTAATATCGTTCTGTTTTTATATATATATATATATATATATATATATATATATATATATATATATATATATATATATATATATATATATATATATATATATATATATATATATATATATATTTGTGTGAGAGAGAGAGAGATAATTATAAGAAGACACAAATTGAACAAAGGATATATATATTTTGTTCTTAAAAAAGGTAACCTGGATTAAGTTAAGGGAACTGGACTCTCCTCCGTAATAGTCATTTTTATCCATGTGCAATACCTATCGTATCATTTGCACAAATATTTTAAAAACATACGGAATATTAAAGCTTTTACAAGATAAGAAATATTATTTTAACAAATAATCAATAAAATTGCGTAAAAGAAAATGATACAATTTGATCAAGCGACGAATAATAAATATGACATGCGGTCCAACTATTTAGAATAACATGGATAATAGAAAATACGGAGTAGAATATTATTACTCCGTATTCTTATATATTAGAATTACTTTAAGTATTTAGAACTCCATAAGATCAATTATTATCAAATTGCATGACTACCCATCACAATTTATTAATGATATGCATGATTTATATATAATTATATACCTTGAGTCCGTCGACGGAGAGGAGGCCGCTGATGATGCATTCTTTGAGGCCCGTGCCGAGAACGATGACATCATATTCTTCGTCCATAGTGACGACCCGGACGCTATTGTCGTGATCGAGTGTCGGAAATGAGGGGAGATCGAGATCAGAAGAGAAGAATGATACAATGGGAAGAGATAGGAGAGGAGGAAATGATGAATAACAAGTTAGAAAAGATGAAAGGGATGAAGGAGAGCATGCAACGGGTTGACCGTTAAAGAGCGAGTCTCTTGCCTTTGCTTTGCCTTTGAGAGGCCATAAATTAATTTGAGTGTGTATATATATACTCCCTCGGTCCGGAAATGTTCTTCACATTTGACTTTTCTTGGTCAAAATTTATAAACTTTGACTACGATTTGTGGAAAAAACACATTGTATTATGATGTAAATTTAATATCAATATATTCACAATGAAACGTAGTTTTCAAATATCAAATTTTTATAAAATATATCTATGTACAAATATAGATATTAATGGTCAAACTACAATATTAAAGATCGTGAAAAGTCAAATGAGAAGAACATTTCCGGACGGAGGTAGTATGTGTGTATATATATATATATATATATATATATATATATACATATATTACACAAACACACACTTTCTCCATGTTTTAAAAAACCACAACTATATACTCCCTCCGTCCTAATTTAAATGACATGTTTTGGTTTACGATATTTGACTGAATTTTTTTTAATCCTTTCATATGAAAAATGGTGTAGATTTAAAAAATAAAAATTACATATTTAAAAACTACATCAAAAGATCTACAAACTAGTAGTGATATGACTATATTATTTTATCAAATTACTAACGAAAATAGAAAAAAAATGAATGAAAGTTCACCCTGTAAATAGTAAACATGCAATTTAATTAGGGATGGAGGGAGTATCACTTTTTTTCTTTTATAGTTATTGTCTACAAAAATGTTTCACTCCACACTCTTTCTTTATTAGTGAGATCATACAATGTAAGCCATGCACTAGCATATCTATTATTTTTTAATTTAAAGTATTGATGTTTTTCCTAGGCCAATTTAGATAAATAAAATATTCTTAACTTTTAGAACATCATTTAGATTCATGTAAGTTAGAAAAAACAATTTTTCTGAATAAAACTGTAGTCTGTACTATTGATATTAAAATGAAAGATAAATAACACTTAATGTGAATCACAACAAAAGTGACATTAGAAAAAATAACAATTAAAAAATAAACTATAGTTATTAACATAGTAATAATAATAGTAATAATAATAAATGAAAAACACGTTATTTTTAGAGTCATTATTTGAGAGTAGAAAAAGATTTTAAAAAATGAGAATAGTTGGAAAAAACAACTCAAAAAACTGAAAGAAAATGAAAGAAATTTGAAGTTAAAATTTAAACTCTAAAGAACAAGAACTTAAAGCATTTACAATGGGAGCATTTATTTTCTTGACTCGTCCTCACTTCTGCCACATCAGCATTCTACTATTTTTTAGCCCCGTCCCAAAATCATGCAATGCAATTGCCCAAGAAACCCCACCTCTCTTTCTTTCACATTATTCATCATTTCAAATTCCAAACTTTTTATAAAAAACAAATTAAATATAATTAATATAAAAAGGATAAGATTTACACTTTATTAAAAACATCGAAAGAAAAACAAAATACATCAAAAATAAATTAAAGTTTATGAAAATACAACAAAAATTAATGCAAAATTATATTAAATATTGTTGCATCTCCAAATTACTTAGATCAAACCATCCAAATTTGTTCGCCACACTTATAAATGCGGGAAAAATGATTTGCCACACTGGACCTAAATGCAGTTACGCAAATGTAAGGAATTTTTTGCCACTCTTAAATAAGCGTGGCTAATGCATATATTAACAACATTTAGTATGTATGGCTAATATTTGAATTTGAAACACTTACATATATTCGTAAGACACCGCACTTTAGAATAATAATTTTTTAAAATAGTAAAATAACTATGTGTGTCCAAATTAACTTTTAAATATATTGGTGGGTATTTATTCTAAATATTTTTGAAATTTAGCACCGTAATTTAGTTTAGAGGAGCTGAGCCTTAGAGTTACAACTACAAAAAAATTACAACATTTATAGAACACAATAAGGTTAGCATTTTCTTTAACTTTTAAGACAACTTAGCTTCAATGTAGTTAACTAGTAGGAACAAAATTTGTTGATAATGTTTCATCACGGCAAGGCTCTCATTTGCGAAATACAAAGAATTAAACCATCTTTGAATGTGTAATAACATAATGATAAAATTTAACAATTTTTGTAATGTCTTATTCTTACATAAACTAGTAGCCAACAAGCATTGGCAACATATATATATCTTCACAACAAAGAACTAAACAATCTTTGAAGATAATAAACCATTCCTAGAAAAGAGTGGACATCAATCTCGATGCAGAACGATTTAAGGGTAAACAATACTCCCTCCGTCTCATATCTTTCTTCTCAGGATCCGTTTGGAACACGGAATTGATGAAATTGATTTGGAATTAAAATTCCATGAGATTCAATTCCACAGAATTGAGTTAACCAATTCCAATTCATTTTGTGCACTTCCAATTCAAATCCACATAATTTTTGTGCTACCAAATACGAGAATTGAAATTAAAATCCTCAATTCCAATTCCATAGTTTGAATTCTGTATACCAAACAGGACCTCACTTTCCTTTTTAGGTTGTCACACTTGATTCTTCCCATTTCCTTTCTTGGAAAATGATTTTATCCAAAAAACTAATATACCCTCCTTTCTATTTTTTGAGCTCCCCCACCTACCCACCCCTTCCACTCTTTCTCTTCAAATTTTCTTCGTTTCTTCTTTCATATACACTTTCTCTTCTTCATCTTCGTACATAAAGGCCCCTCCCCCAGCCCTGTTCTTCTTTTTCTTTGAAAGGCTTCTTCCCCCAAAAGTAACAAATCATCTACATTAGCATAGATAATAATGATATATAATACCAATAAAAACTCGAAAGTAACAAATCATGAAGGAAATGTTGTTTGACTTGAATTTCAAGTGTCCTCTGTGCCAACAAACCTTCAAAAGCACCTGAGAACATCATAAATGACACTCTATAAACAAAGCAATAGCAAATGTGCTATTGCTTTCAAACTACAATTGGCAGTCATAAGCAACAAAAAATTGTAAGAGGTCCACTATAGTTGGCTTAATACTAATGACGTCTTAAAATTTGAGGTCCACTATAGTTGGCTTAATACTAATGACATCTTAAAATGTGAGTTATCTTATTTAGTGTGAAGCACATTCCTTAAAAGTGATTACTCTTTCCAAGTTTCTTTATTACGAAGTACTCCATAAAAAATACCATCTATGTAACCCCTTTGGCCCGACGGGTCGCGGTGAACCGGGTTCACGAGTAATACTTTTAAATATATCATATATGAAAGTGCTTTTTCTAATGATATTCTCTCCGACGTCCCTTTTCTAGAAAAGTACTCTTATTGCTTCATGTGGAAATTTAAGAACCTGGGGTAAAAAAAAATTTCCCACAAGCAATGCTAATTAGTTGGTAGGAAACTTACATGTTATATATTGTGCAATAAAAATTATTGTATTTTATTCTTATGTGGAAATGTGGTTTCAGTCGAATGGACAGAATTTGTCACCAACTAGGATCCTTGGAGAAATGTTCTTTTCCTTTATGGTTGCCATGTCCGGTATTTGTGTCATCGCACATGTTGTGACGAACATGAATCTACGTAGACATTTTACAATTTGTTCTTTAATGTCTCATTTTTAGTTATAATTCCATGTTTATAGATTATTTTAATACATAAAATAGTATGTTGAGAATGAATATGAAGTTGGTGAAGTTGTGGGTTTAAAATTGTTATTTGTAAAATTAGTTTATGTTATCTTGTATTACAAGTTGGTTGATCTTTAACTAATTGATTTATTTTTTTCCAATTTATTATAACTACTTACAGTCAGTACAGGATGAGTGAATGGAGAAGAAAGCAAAGAAACACCGAAGAGTGGATGCAACTTCGTCAAGTTCTCAAACCGTTAGTATCAAGCAAATTTTCGAATGTCAATGGGTTGCACGTCACTGTCAATGAAGAATGAATCCATCCTAAATGGTGACCTGCCTACAAATCCATCTCGCAACCTTCGAAGACATCTATCCTTCGAACTCTCAAACGTGTATGAAGAAGAAATTCACTTAACAATCCTTTCTTTTTTCATTTACTTTTTTTGGTGTCCTAACAAAGGTTTTTTCCACCTTCATACAATTAGCCAGGTACCTATTTTCTCAAAGATGGAAAATAAACTGCTTGATGCCTTACGCAAACACATGGTCTCAAGGTTGAACATGCAAGGTACATACAACGTGCGAGAAGGCGACCCGGGCTCAAAGATGGTTTTCATAGTGAGAAGGAAACTCGACAGTTCCACCACTGACAGAGGCCGGACAAGGTTCTTCAATACCATAACACTGGGACCCGAGATTTCTGTGTGGATGAGCTCTAAGCAAGAAGTTTATGACATGACGCCTTCTGTCTCTCCGAGGGCAGTGAAGACGTTGACTCAAGTAGAGGGGTTTGCCATCACTGATATGCCATATATTGTAGGTCTGTCGCTCTCTAACGCAAACCCCTCCACTTGATTCAACGCCCTCACCACCTTCGTAGAGGCAGGAGGCATCATGACATCGAACTTCTTGATTAGAGCTCATCTCCGCAGAAATCCTCGAGTACTCGGTCTGACCTCCGTCAATGGTGGAACTCTCAAGCCTCCCTCTCACTATGAAGAACACCTCTGAGACCAAGTCACAGTCACGCGCGATGCAACTGCCTTCAATGCCCAACCTTGAGACTATGTGTTTGCATCAAGCAGTTAATTATCCATCTTTGAGAAAATATGTACCTATCAAGGTGAAAAAACTTTGGTTAGGACACCGAAAAAAGTAAATGAAGAAAAGCATGGATTGTTAAGTGAATTTCTTCTTCTTCTTACACGTTCAAAAAGTTCGAAGGATAGATGTTTTCGAAGGTTGCGAGACAGATATAAAGGCAGGTCACCATTTAGGATGCATTTTTCAATGGTTTGGAAATCTGACGAAGTTGCATCTACTCTTCAGTGTTTCTTTGCTTTTTTCTCCAACTTCACCAATTTCATATTTATTCTCAACATATTAGTTTATGTTTTAACAATAATGTGTTAGCATGGAAACATAACTAAAAATGAAGCATTAAAGAACAAACTGTAAAATGTTTACGTACGTTCATGTTCGTCACAATATATGCGATCACACAAATGCCAGACAAGGCAATGACAAAGGAAAAGAATATTCCTCCAAGCATCCTGGTTGGTGACAAATTCTGCCCCATTGAACTTAAAGCACATTTCCACATAAGAATCAAATACAATAATTTCTATTGCACAATAAATAACATGTAACCAACTAATTAACATTGCTTGCGGAAAAGAAAATTTACCCCAAGTTGCTAAATCCCCACATTAAGCCGACCGTCACCGGTCATCGCCGCCAGACTCCGGCCGCCGCTACTGCTCCACTGTCGTTGACCGGTAGTTGACCAGTGTTGTTATTTTATTTTTAATTAATTTTTTAATTTTTAAAATTTAAAAAAAGGTGAGTTTTGGAGTTCAAAGTGGTGAGCTTTGCTTTATTTCCAGGTGAGCTTTGCATTGTCCATTGGTGAGCTTTGTATCATCTGACCGAAGCATGTCATTTCACCGTAAGGTGTCATCTCACTGAAGTCAATCCCTATATATATATATATATATATATATATATATATATATATATATATATATATATATGATCGGTCCACCGGTCTCACCGGGTTTGGACCGGACCGGACCGGAACCTGGATAAAGGAAATTGATGGACCGGAGACCGGACCGAATTAGGACCGGTCCGGTCCAGTTTTGGTCGGTCTTCGGGTCGGTCCGGGTTTGGACCGAATAATGCACAACCCTACTCTCTGTGTTGGGATCACAGCGTGCGAACACACATGTGCCGTTTACCCAAGTCTTGCGTGCTTGAAAGTCCAGTGTGTCACATTCTATGTACTAAGACACACATCCTATTACGTTCTTTTCTTCCCTACACTCTTCTCTCCAACAAGATGCTTGGCGATCAACGGACAATGTGTACCATGCCCCCCCCACGAACCTAAAAGGAAATTAAAATCAAATATTGCCTCAAGCCACCATGAAATAACAAAATAACAAAAAGAAAAGAAAAGAGAAAAATCAATGAGCTATATATGACATGTATATTGACTTGCAGATGTTTTTGGCATAAGGAACCATATGCCAATCTACATGGAATACCCAACATTTCATCAATTTATTATATATTTGAACAAACTCAAAGGCTATTCTCGGTTAAATAGTAACTACTACTTGGTAGAGAGCATGTACCTGGGGGAGAGGCAAAGTTACAATGAGATCAAAGATAAGATCATATCTTGGATATCTTTTGGCGATGTCCTTACGCTCCATCACCACTTTACCTCTTCTAAATGCCATGATGCTCGGATAACACATGAGCCTTAAATTTTATACTGACATGACAAAGATAAAAAAATCTACAAATCGGTGACCTAGCTACAACATTACAGAGAATGGGGCAATTTTTCGATGTTTTGCGTTATAGAACACACGAGTTTCCCTCTGAACCGCGGACAAATAAAAAAACAGAGGATCCAAGATGAGTGCCCATGAGCAAAGAATAATAAGCATCTTGCTGCACATAATTCTGTTTGTGTGTGGATCTAGGATCCAACTCTTGCTCAATGACTTATTGTTTTTTTTCATTTGTCGTGCCCATTTAGTGTGGAGTTGGAAACAAGTAAAGAGCAAAGATTGCAATAGCAAATGAATGGATGGATGTAGTGAAGAAGATTGAGGGGAAGGGAGAAATTTATACTAGGTGGTTGGTCGTAGTAATTTAGCACTATGGTATAGAGAGCAAATACTTTAGCACGTTTAATTTCCCACAATCCATTAGGTCCTAATAATTAAGCATTATCAAGAATGGAGAAAGGGTCCTAGTTTATAGTGCTTCACCATGACAATAACGACAATAACTTAACTACTATTACTGTATTTGCTAGTATAATAATGACATAGTTGTAAAGGGAAAGAGAATGGGATGAAATACAATTTTTTTGTTTGGTTAGAAAGAAAAAAAAGGAAAAAAAGAAAAATGAGAAGGCAAAACATATTAATAACAGGGAATACCAAATTCCTTCTATTTTGGTGAGAAAAATGAAAGAAACTCATTTTTTTCCTTCCAAATTCTCTAAATTCAATATAGTGTAAAAATATATGAGTCACATTTATCTTCGTGCATCAAGGTCTTGCTCAATCATACTTAGACCTAGCAATCGAGTCAACCAATTAAAAACGACTTAACAAAGAAATATTTTGTAGGAGATAAAAACAAAAATCATCTAATTACAAAGACCATAAATGTATTTAACCCTTTATTATAGTTATTTAAAAAAAGGAACACGTAAACAAAACGTGTAAAGCAAACATTGAATGATGATTTTTTTTACGTGTAAAGCAAACAATATTGTACCAGTGGAACCCGCCACATGGGTGGAGAATGGGTAAAGATAAATATGTGGTGAAGAAGTGAGCGGAGACAAGGATGGTAGCAACGGTGGGGGGTGTGTAGCACGGTCCAAGGTAGTAACAACTCTTTTTTTCTTTATTTTATGTTGTATGTTAACGACATGTAATGCATTGAAGGATAACCAAAGGATATGATGGCTTTATTTAATTGAACTAAAAAATAATGGTTCTAATCTCTGGTTCCAATCTCTGAGCGACGAGGTAAATTTAAACCATCCATAAAATAAATAGAATTCACCCTAAATCGGACTAAAACGTAAAAAAATACCAAAATAGGAGTTCTACGTTTTTTTCCTAAAATAGGAGTTTGCACTGTGGTAATATGGTTGTAATGTGACACTGTACATGTGCACATTATTATATATTTCTTAGTAATGTACATGACCATGTTTAGTAATGTAAAAGCATTTTAACTCTTATTTCGGGAATTAAAACATGAAAGTCTTATTTTGATATATTTTCAATGTTTTACTCCTACTTTAGTCTTTTCTTCTATAATAAAAGCTGAGGAGAGGGTGTGGGGAACAGAAAATCGATGAGAGGGTGTGAGGAACGTACCTCGTCGTCGCCAATGAGAGCAGAAATTTGTCAGGAGAGATCCAGAGAGCTAATCGTGGATGACGATGATGAGAAAAGGAGTGGTACTTTGATGAGGCGGCTCCATTAATCTTTAGGGTGATGTAGATCTAAAAATAAGGATTAAATCTCATCCATTCTTTTAAAAAGTTTTTAGAACAAAGGGATGAGATTTTATATGTCATACCATGACATATAAACCAAATGTTAGGTGAAAGAGACATTTTTCTTAAAATTGTTGACACAAAGTACTCGTCATAGGCAAAACGAAAAATATGAGAGTTAATTTTTTCTATAGTACACACATCTATCAAATATTTTTCCCATCTTCTCCACAAAGCACAAACAATATGCTTTTAAATTTGTTTAATGCTTGGGAATGAGTTTTTATTAACTAGATGACCTGATTATGTCAAGATTGTAGTTTGTGAGCGGAAATTTATTGGAACAAAAAAGAAATTCCTTGGAAAGAATCATTTTTGAAGTCCCTACCATTAGATCTATGCAGTGTAAAAGAAATGAAAGTGACTAACAACACAAAACAAATGTTTATTACTAAATACATTGGTCTTAATATCAGCCCACAGTCAATTGTATGAATAATATACGGATCGGAATATAGCATAAGATCTTACAATTTTCGTTTTTGAAATTTTTTTTATATAACTGAAATTAGTTTTTAAAAAATTCCAAAAAGAGTCGAAGGTTTAAGCAAATCATAAACATTTCAAAATTAATACCAACAAAAACCCTAATAAATATCAAACAGATGTAATCTGGATAGTAAATATACTTCAAAATCTGGAAAATGTCATTTCTTAGAAGCAGTTTTCGGAAAAAAATGGCAGAGGCATTACTGAGTATATTGAATAAAGGAAAGAGATGTTAAATTATAAGAAACAAACAAACCTTCGACGACGTGATAATGGCGGCGAAGAAGATCAGAAGAAGAAGGAATGAAAGAATAATGAAGAATGCAGAAGCCGATGATAGGGTTTAATGGGATTTGGGCTTGGACTAAATGGGCTGTATTGGTTATTTTTTTCATTAATCAAATAAATATTGCATTTTATATTAATAAATTATATGATTTCTGGAAAACATCTTACTATATATTTAATTTAGTCATTTAAAGTTTAATTAGTACAACGTATATAAAGTGCTTTTCATTTATTTGATTGTTGAAGATAAAAAAAGATGCTATAAATAATTTGTTTTTGTCAAAAATACTTTCTCTTTTATTTTCTTTCAATAATTACATTGAAGTCTCTAAAATGTTCAAAAAAGTTACTCAAGTATTATATTTTATCAAAAGTAACACTCTGTTTTTCTTTCGTTAATGTCATTTAATTTTCTAAAATGTTCAAAATATATCACTCAAATATTTTTAATTATTTAAAATGGTCTTTAATGGGTAAATTTTATGTTCCTTTTCTTTAATTTTATACATTTTCTAAAATTTTTCTACAGTTTTGTAATACTCAATGACTTCCAAATTAATGATCTTAGTTAGACATGGCATACATTTTTTAAAAATGAAATTAAGTAATTGAAAGTGATACAGATGAGAGAAAAATATGGTAAATCACAAAATATTTTCTAAAAAAGAAAACAACCCAAACATAAAGCTTTTTTTACATTCAAAATAAGAAAAAAATAAGATTAATTTGAAACAAGGGGAGCATATGATATTTTGTCATTTTTTCATTAATAAAAATAATACTATCATTTCAATTCCAAACATTTTAAACATACATTACAAAAAGATGTTTACTTTATTTGTTATCTTTCAAATAAATCAACATGTGACTTGAAAATTAAGGGGGGAAAAACAAAGCTAATTTTTTTTGGAGATATTCAAAAAATAAATTAAAGTAAGACCTTTTAGTGGCATTTTTTAAAAAATTAGAGATTAATGGCATTACTGGAAGAAAAAAAGTTAATGACACTTTTGATAAAACATAATAATTGATTAACACTTTTGAATGTTTATAAGAGTTCAATGACCATTTTGAAAAAAAATAAAAGGGAGTGATTTTTTTGAAAAAATAAATAGTTGAGTAGCATTCTCTTTAGTGTACTAATTAGGGGTGGACACGGTACAGTTCCGGGACGGTTCCGGTTCCGGAACCGCCACCCCGAGTAACCGGAAATGTTACCGTGCCGGCCGGTACCGGTACCGGTTCCCGGACCGGTGGTTCCGGTACCGGACCGGCCCGGTTCGCCCAATTTTATATGAATATTAAATGTATAAAAATTAAATAGAGATAATAAGATTGAAAGATTGATAAATTGAGAGAATGAGAGAATGAGAGGATTGAGAGATGGATTGAGAAATTGAGTGATTTTTTATGTAAAAAATGAGAGAATTTATAGATAAATTTTGGTCCCCCCCCCCCCCCCCCCCCCCCCCCCCNCCCTCCCCCACCTTAACGGCTAAATAGCCGTTTGAGGTGTGCCCCCCACTTTTTTTTTTAAACTTTTTGCAGGAATTTCAAATGAACAAAAAAAAAATAACCGGTACCGGAACCGGACCGGTACCGCCGGTACCGGTACCAAAAAATAGGTACCAGAACCGGTACCGAAAGTGGCGGTACCGGTACCGGTTCCCAGAACCGGTGACACGGCAACCTTGCCGTTGACGGTGGTGGGTACCGGCGGTACCGTTGCCGGTGACGGTACCGTACCGGTACCGTGTCCACCCCTAGTACTGATTATCAAATGTTTTTTTCTTATTAGTATTAAAGGTTGTATCCTTAATAAAATTGATCTGAAATGAAAAAAGTATCCTATATTTTTTTACTCTATTTTATTTAAAAATTGGTATAGAATAAAAATTAATAAGTATAACTTACATATTTAAAAAGTACGTAAAAGTTTTATAAAATAATAGTTCACAGTAATATTTTATTTTATCAAATAATCAATAAAAATTACAAATAAACATAGGTTATCATGAATTTAAATATTAGGGGTATCTATTATGAAGGTGTAGAAATTAATAAGAGGAAGCGGATTCTTGACGCCCAGCTTGGACAGCAAATGAGAAAACGGAGCGGAAGCCAAAGCCTTTGTGAAGAGATCTGCCGGTTGTTCATTGGTGGAGATGTGGCGAGTACACAAAACACCTCGTTGGATTTCGTCATGCACAAAGTGGCAATCAATTTTAATGTGTTTCGTACGCTCATGGAAGACAGGATTAGCTGCAATATGGAGGGCTGCATGATTATCACAGAACAACCGCATGGGTTGTTTGTGACGCACACCAAGGGAGAGAAGCAGGGATTTCAGCCATTTTAGTTCACAAACAGTGGTTGCCATAGCCCTGTATTCGGCCTCAGCCGAAGATCGGGAAACGACACTTTGTTTCTTTGTTCGCCAAGATACCGGAGAATTGCCAAAAGTGATAAAGTAGCCAGTAACAGAACGTCGAGTCAAGGGACACCCAGCCCAATCAGAGTCACAGAAAGCTTTAAGGGTAAGATCACTCTGTACTGGAAGAAACAATCCTTGCCCGGGACAGGCCTTGATGTACCGTAGAACCTGGGTCGCCCCGTCCCAGTGTTCCTGTCGCGGCTCCCCCATGAATTGAGACAACACATGAACCGCATATGCCAAGTCAGGACGACTGATCGTGAGATAGATGAGGCGCCCTACAAGTCTGCGATAACGCTCTCGATTAGTGAGAAGTGGGCCACTTGCTAGAGCCAGTCGTTGGTTCTGAGGAAGAGGAGTGGAAGCCGGTCGAGCACCCAGAAATCCAGTTTCACAAAGTATATCAAGAGCATATTTGCGCTGGCAGATGAAAATCCCTTTCGAATTTCGGGCAACCTCTACGCCCAAAAAATATTTTAAAAGACCAAGATCTTTCATATGAAAGCAATCAGAGAGATACCGTTTAAATTTTCCAATGAATTCTTCATTATTTCCTGCTATCACGAGATCATCCACATATACCAGCACACGAAGCTCGATGGAGCCGCGCAGAAGAGTAAACCGAGAGTAATCAGCCTTGGATTGGTGGAACCCAAAATGTTTTAACGCAGAGGTGAGTTTGGCAAACCAACACCGTGGAGCCTGACGAAGACCATAGAGGGATTTATGAAGCCGGCAAACCAATCCTTTACCGCGAGCGTTAAACTCGGGAGGAAGAGTCTTGTATATTTCATCGCAAAGGTCTCCATGCAAAAAGGCATTATGAACGTCCATCTGATGTAGGAACCAGTTGCGGGCAGCGGCAACAGCTAAAAGAGTGCAAACAGTAACCAATTTAGCCGTCGAAGCAAAAGTCTCTTTAAAATCGATGCCCTCTTTCTGTCGGTTCCCAAGCACCACCAAACGAGCTTTGTAGCGTTCAATGCTTCCATCAGACTTGTGCTTGATTTTATAGACCCACTTGGATCCGATTGTTTTCCTTCCAGGAGGCATGGGGACGAGTGACCAAGTACCATTAACTTCTAATGCTTGAATTTCTTCCTTCATAGCTTGTACCCATAGTGGGTTTTTCACCGCCTCAGAAAAGAATGTAGGCTCAACATCTGCACTTATAGCTGCCAAAAAACATCTATGGGAAACAGAAAATTTGTCAGCGTTAATAAAATTTGTAATACAGTGTGCTGTACCTGAAGGCGTTGTTGGTTTGAGTGAATCAGGAGAGGGACGTTGAATGGTGTGAGTGACAAAGTCACGCAGTCGCGAAGGAGGACGACGTTCTCTTTCACTTCGGCGCAAAGTGTCTTGGGTTGGAAGGGTTTGGTTATCAAGGGTA